TCAACACTATAATGTGGTGCAAATTTCCATCTGTTATACACAGACACAACGAGATGTGAACAAGCTGATATATACCATTTAAAGCAGGTTTGTCCAACATGTGGCCCACCAAGCCATTTTATGAGGCCCAAGGTCCTGGGCTCAGGACAGGTGAGTGGGGGAGGGGAGCTGCTCACCCCCATGGGGCCGGGCCCCACCACCACCACCACCCCAGGGGCTGTGCAGCGCAGGGCTGCCCCAGCCGTGCCTGACGGGACGAGCTGGGGACAGCGCCTGCTTTTACTTCTCTCCGGCTTGGCCCCTTGCCCCCAGCATCCCACCTGCCTCCGGGGACCTGCTGGGCTCAGTGGCCGTGGGGTGGGAATGAGCCATGGTACCTGGCGCAGGGACAGGGGGATCTCAGCAGGCAGGGTCCTGGCGTGACCTCTGTGGGGCAAGGTGACAGGAGCCGGTGTCTGCTGAACCCTGCACTCCAGGCTCACAGCGCAGAGGCCACCAGGGCTGCTTGTGCGGGCGGCCGCGCACCACGGTATGCAGGGCCGTGTGGTCAGGTGAGTGAGGGGCTGTGGTGCAGCAGCCACCTCGCTCTGGCCCCCCTTGGGCAGTGCTGGCTCGTGGGGCTGCACTGCTCGGGGGATGGGGATGTGGAGCTATTTATTTCTCCCCTTCAGTCTCTGGGGCAGTAGCTGGCTGGATGCAGAATGGGTCACTCCTGCCCCTGCCCACCAGCAGCTACCATGAACCCTGCAGTAACAGGCAGGTGCAGTAAGGCCTACACAGGTAGGGTCTCTCTCGCCCAGGACAGAGGGTGTTTGAATATGGCTCGCCAGCCCACTGGTTGATAAAAAGTTCATGATCCGGCCCCACATTAAAAAAGGTTGGACACCCCTGATTTAAAGCCTTGATAACCCCTGTATCACAAAAAAAGGCAAATGGGAGAGTACTAAAGGTAGAATGATCTCTTGAGTTAGCTCCACTTCCTGGTAATTTTCTTTCACCTCCTGTCTGTCTGGTGTGGACACAGCTGGTAGATGAATGTGGAACAGTAGGGGAAGCTTGTCCCTAGCTGAAGTTCATACCATTCCTGGCAGTAAGTAGAGCAACAACAAAATCAAATAAGGAAACAAAGCTTTGTTCCTGGTTACAGTCACCTATTCTTAGCTCCTTTACTTCACAAAGAGAAAGCTTGCTACATCTTTTCTGCAATTATGAGAAATGAATAAAATAAAAGCGTCAGATTTTGCCTCAATTCTCTTGACATGTTATTTTGTTCAGATGAGTGCCTTTCACAGAATACTGAAATAATTTTCTTTTACAGTGACCAGTTTCTTGTTTAAATTTTAAACTGAAACACCACAATCTAATATGAACCTAATACTTTAACCTAAAATTAGAAAAAATTCAGCCACTTAGCACATCCTATCTTGTGCAGATTTTTTTTAATTGACAGTAATGATGATGATGATAATCATCATCTTAGGAACAATGTGAAAAAACAAGACCTAATCATTTCATAAGTAGCACCAGAATCAATTATACACCCCATAGATAAACATTATGAAGAAGAAAATTCAGTGTGAAAGTAAATACTGAACAGTGAGAACACATGACTCACCATGTCAGGGCTCAGTCAGAGATTTTTTCAGTTGCATTAAAGTTCTAGGAGTCAGGTGTTCTGGGACAGATTCTTTAGAGCACAAGACTTTTTGTATAGTCTTTGACTAGTGGGCATTTAATACAGGTCTTAGTGTTTCTTTCCCGTAATGCAACTGAAAGTCAGGTAACTATTTACATTATGATGTTTACCTTGGAAGTTGGCACCACATAAGAGAGATCTGCAACTTCTTATAGACCCAAGCATACAGCTGAGTTGATTCAGCCACTACTGGCTACTACTCCCAGGTTCTAATCACCATCATAATAGTACCATTTTGTATTTTCTTTGTGTCATTGGCATTGATCTTTCCAATACAGCCACTTTAAAAGTGCACACACTTTGAAAATAAAACTGGGAAGGTACTGGGATAGCAACTATTTCAAAAGAATCTGGCCTTCCAATTTGGTAGTTATCACTAGCATCAGAAAGCAGTGCAGTAAGCTGTCTGATTTCCCAATAGCAACCTCACCCCCACAAAAAGCGGGGGAGGGGGCCCAAAGCACGTCAAAGTATAATGTGCTGGCACAAACACAGAGACAGAGGAGCAGGCAGGGCTGCCTACTTCTGTCTCCACGCTGTGGAGCCCCTACACTGATGCACCCTGCACCCCAGCCAGCCACTCCCCTGGGCTGGCTGCTCCCTTGCCTCCACCTGCCTCAGTGTGGGGGCTCCACTGTGAAGCCCCCACACTGAGGCACATGGAACTCCTGTCTCAAAGTACATGGCACCCCGGCCACCTGGGGAGCAGGTGGCTGGGCTGCAGGGTGCCTCACTGTGGGGGCTCTGCACTGCAGAAACAGGGGAGTAGGCAGGCCTGTGCTGCTTGCTTCCCCCATTTCCATGTGCTGCTCCCCAGCTGGCTGGGGCATAGGGTGCCTCAGCATAGGGGCTGCCTGCCTGCTAGCCCCGCGCTGAGACACCCTGTGCCCCAGCCAGCCCACCCTGCAGTGTATGAAGCAGCGGGACAATGTATCCAACTGCAAACCACACTGCAGCGCAAATTTGTGGCAATACTGTTTGTACTGCCGCAAATGAATGCCCCTGCTCATGCAGATATGGCTATGAAGTCCAGGGCTTTAATTTCAGCAGCTTTCCTCCCCCAAAAGCACCAGAGTACATGGGAACTGAAGACCTTATCAGAGGCATAACAAAGCAGTGAGACACCTGGGGCATAACCACATGAATGTGGCAGCAGCCATTTTTTCCCTTCTCTCTTCAAGTCGGTGTCTGGGGTGGCTGCCCTGGTTACATGGTTGGACTCTATTTTATTTTATTTTATTTTATTAAAAAAAGAAAGATGGCCAAAGTAGTGATGTGAAGCAAAAAGGTAGATGGTTGTAGTTTCTTTAAAAAGGGAAGAAACTGACGCAAAAATAATTTGCATAACAATTAGGTAAATCCACAGTCATTTTTAATGGATCTTGAAGAAGGAAGAAAAACTTGTGAAAGCATAGATTACTGGGGTTGGACACAAGAATTAAAAAAAAATATGTATGATTGATACAGAGTCAACGTGTGCACACACCATGTACCTATGGAACGGCAGGGTCTTTTATTGCTATCCTTATCCTGCCTTTCCCCCACCTTGTCTTCTAAATGCATTTGTTACACTTATTTGTTGCGTCCTGTCTTAAAGCATAAGTTCCTCACAGCATGGGAATCCTGAGATAGGTGTTTAAACAGTAACATAGCAGCCTGGTCCCAGCTGATGCTGTGTGGAGAGAAGGCTTAGGGATCCCACAAAACATTAGCGTGCATGCTAACATTTGTTCCCAACCTCAAGACATTAAGCATGGGTGCTGAGCCTTTGCCAAGACTCCTCCCAAGTCTCCCAACCTAGCAGCATGGCTCTTTCACAATTACTGCTCCAAGTGTTTTTCCACATCTTTATCCTTAAAAAGCTTAAGTAGAAAACTGTTGATAAATAACTTCAACATAGTCTGTTGTAATTGTCCTGGAGTGCACCTGCTGCCCAGACTTGCCCTTTACCACCCATAGCTGCAAAACTACAGGCGCTTAAATTGGATTCTGGGAGTGGGCAACAGAAAAACAGCAGATGGAAAAAACACCCAGTATTGGAAAACTTTCCAAATCTCCAGCCTTACCAGATATGTAGGTAGGAGAATTCATGAGAAAAAAGCAACAGACTTAACCTAACGCATTCTAGGAAGACAACTAATGGACTCTGAGCAATCAAAAAAACTACAGTATATGAAATTAGTCACAATGTCATTAAATGAAAGAAATAGTCTGTAGGCAAGATCCAATTTCAGAATCTGGAAGCAGAAAGTAAATGACAGAATTACTGTAGATGGACAAGCATTAAATTGATGCAAGATAAAAATATTATGAGGCTGGACAGTTTTTTGGTTCTGTTCACTCTCCTGGTAACTGCAACATGCTTTATTATCAAGAGAAGCTGACCTCCATTTACTTCTGTGCTTGCCTTACAAAGGCTTTTCTTTCCAAAACAAAGCACCGTGCAAGCTTCACTGTCCCTTACTACTATAAGTAAAGGAATTTCAGAGTTAAAAATTGGGCACTCACAGAAATGGGGGGCAGGGCGGAAATGGGGACGGACGGATGCGCTCTACCAGAAGCAGCAGTGTGTTAGTTCAACCTAGCTGTGCAGTGTCTGTGTAGATCGGGAGCTTCATTGGGGCTTTTTGGCACTTTTAGCTAAAGCTGATTCAATCAGCTATTGAAATGCCAAATAAGCCCCAATGCCAAATAAGCCCCACTGAAGTGCCTGATCTCTACAGATGTTGGGAAAGCTGGGTACAACTAATGCATTGCCTCTTCTGGGAACACACTGAGCTTAAAGTAAAACACCGATTTTTTTTCCACGTCTGCAAACAGCCATATTTGTATCATTTAAAATTGACAAGGGGGGAGTGCCTGGTGCCTGTGGGAGAAGGAGGACCAACCCCAACAATCACCTCAGCCAAGGATTTGTCTAGCCTGGTCTTAAAAACCTCCAAGGATGGAGAGTCCACAACATCTCTGGGTAACCTGTTCCAGTGCTTTACTACTCTGCTAGTAAGAAAGTTTTTCCTTTTTTTTTTCAAAGCAGCTAAATTTTCCACTGGTACCAGAAGATAACCCACGGGTTTCCAAGTCTGTAGGAAAAGCTAAATTTTTCTTCTGTCATGAGGAGCATTCTGTACACGTTATTTCTATGCTGAGAATAACCACATTTTTATTCAGTTTATAAAATAACTGCCAGGACCAAAAGGATTAATTTCATTTGTTCAACAGCTGTGTTGTTTCCTTCTCTATTAACTATGTGCTACAATTGTTACATTTTTTCTATAAAACACAGGAAAAAAAAACAAGAATACAATCAGGTTCTATACTTTTTTAATACAACTAGGCCTCATATTAACACACAAAATTTAGTAATCCACCAATTTAGATAGAGGGTTAATACATCTTGTTTAGACAGATGTACACTGAAGCACAGCCACACCCATAAAACAAATCCTGCTGAACATGTTTTTTTGTAAACCAAATTAGTCCCCACATAGCTAATATGGGCAAATGCATTTGTGGTTGACATTTTCTTTTATGATTACGCTGATTTTGAATGATAATTTTTAGGTTGGTGAGTTCTTTTTAAAAAAAATATCCAAGAATTGTAACGCTGTTATAAAATGGTATGCTTGAAAAAATATTACATTATAGGCACATTTTATTATAAACATTAAATATTTAAATATGCTGAAATTTGAGGAAATAATGTAAATACAACGTTTTCAATAAATAATTTTGCTTCATGTCTTTCTGCATCACAAATTACCATAAAAACGTGGTTTATACAGAATTACACATATATTTTTCATAAAGAAAGAAAAAATGTAATCACAATAGGAAGGTCATTTCCTTTATCAATTTATCAAGAGCAGTTATTTTAGCATGCATATTTGCATGATTCATATTAATATTGCACTATATTTGCCTTTATTTTTATTAAAGTGAATTTAGTACTTTTGAAAAGTGTTGGATTAATGATTGCACAGGAAACTGAAGCTCTCTATATCTCCAGTAGAAGTGAAGTGCAGAGAGTGCAACTCAGCCTATTCTGGAAGCATCCCACTTTTCATGCTTAGTAAATCATCATTATGGCAAGGCTTTTGAAGTCATTGGAAATTAAGAGCACTCAACATATCATAAAAACACTAAGCAACATTTAGGATTGACCTCTTCAAGCTTGGCCCAGCAGCTCATACTGAAGTCACTGTCTTTAATGGAAGATGGATTCAGCCTTAAATTTCCCCCCTCTTTCTTGAGATTATTAATTAAGGCACAAACTAAGCTTTGCGCTGTTATTATCTGCCTACCATGAACTGAATTGAGCCCAACTCATTTTTCATTGATTATCCATAATCCAAGCACCATCACATAATTACTATCAGTCACTATCAATCAAAGATGGATTATTCCTGACTCCAAAATCCTGCATCTCCACATTTTCAAGATAAACAAAACAAAGCCTACTGCCATCACACACTCCCCCAACACAATTTAGTTAATAAATAATAATTTGAGTGATCTCTCTGCTCATTCCTCTGTCTTAAGGGTTGTTTTCATCTTACGGGGTTTGTAATGCTTCTAAAATTAAAGGAATCAGAGTCCAAACCCATTACCTATACCAAACTAATTTGTAATCATAAAATATTATGAAAGTCTTCATATAAAATAATTTGCCATGTATTCATTTAAAAAATGTTTCAATTGTGTGACTGGAATTGCATGTTTTGGCTTTCTTTGATGTTGACTGTAGAGGTATTAATCCAGACCTGAAATAAGAAGTAAACACATCAGGAAGAGAAAAACCCCCTGAAATCTACCAGACAATAACTTTGTTAAGCAACTTTTGTAGCATTGAGCTGTTTGCTAGCTTTGGTTTCAAATTAAGGTTTGTAAGCACAGACTCCTATTGAGAGTTCTCTCTTACCTTTTTGTTCCTGTTGTGGGATTCATACTCTGAGGTGCTTTGCCCAGGCTTCCTAAAGAACAAGACAAATTATTGATTGAAATGCAGAGTGAATGCAATTGGGTCTGCATTCCTAGCAGAACTTGTTAGAAAAAATGCATTTATTTAAGTAACATTGCCAGGTGAAGTATTTCCCTCCCATTTTTTCCTGTGGCTGCTGGACTCAATTCTTTTCACAAGCAAACAACTTTGCACAATTACCTCCAGATTTAGTACTGTCATTTATATGCAATATAGATGAATAACTAAAACAATACCTTTATAATAAAATTACAATTTAAAGGGTGAATTTCAACAGATTATAGTTTTCTGTATTATATAAATACAATTCCATAGGCTTCCAACATGCTGTACTGACATTCATGCTTTTTAAAACTAATTATCCTTTACATAAAAAATATTTTAAAGGCCCTAAAAGCAGCATTTTTTTCTATACCAAACTTTATCTGCATACCTAGGAAACCTATGCTATTTGAGAAATTTCCTTGTAAAAACCATCAACTTTTAGTTCTTAGGACATTGTCTTAGGACATTCCAACATTGTCACTGCATACAAGAGGCTTGGAAGTTCTTGTGATGGATTAGTGTGGAAGTACTTTGAACTACATCTTTAATTGTAGTGTTTGGTCTCTAATTCTGTCTTTCTTCTTATCAAGCCAATTACAAAAATTAATTTTCTACAACCAGCCATAGTACTAGAACAAGCAAGTAGTATAGCAAACCAATTCACAAATCCAGTTTATGAGTTTAACAGGTTGGTTAAATCATTAGAGTTTAATCTTGAAGGAAACAAAGTTAAAGATGCAATCATTTTGCTACCTTTGTACCACTACAGAAACCTGCAGACATTAACAGTTACATTGTAATGGCTTACATCAGTATCATTTAACATTAATTAAATTGTTACATATGTTTATACCCTCTCATATAAAGGAGCATAGTATTTTCAGATGGAAAAATTCAACCCTATCTTATTCAGTCCTGTAGATTAAATCAAAAAAATATTCATGCCTTGTACATTAAATCACTTCACCAGACTCAAAGCTCCAAAATATGAAAAAACAAACAAAAACAAAAACCCAATACCTTAAATGCTATTTTTACTGGCTAATTTTTGAAAGAGATACGTTCTTGACCAAAATACTCACCAATTCTTTTTGAATTTACTGTAATATGATTCTTAAGGGGACAAACTCTCTCCTCTGTCAACTTCTGAATAATGCCTTTATTTAAGCAAACATCCACATGCCTATTGAACACTGCAAGATCTGTTGTTTTTTGTTCTAAGTTACAAACTGGACAAACTAGAATGTCATCTTGAATGGCTGTAGAGGAATAAGACCTAATTTCTTCCACACATTCAGACTTTTCACAACGTTCTGCATTTTCCAATGAAATTCTGGAAGAAACATTCTGGTCTAAGTACAAATAGCTAGAAGTTTCACTACTCAGGCTATGCTCTTTTTCTGCTCTGGATTTACTAGGTACTATAGCAAACGCTTCTGTACTATTGCTGATAGAGTTGTCAGAAACATTTGATGGGTGCCCTACATCCACTAATGTGTTCATTTTATTTTTTGTATCTGTATCACTGGTTTTATGTTTAATGTATGGAGACAAATTGTGTGTATTCTCTCTTGAATTTGCACTCTTTGATGTCGCTGTCTTCTCTTTTACCAGGGTCTTGTTGAGGCACTCATCAATATGTCTGTTAAGTGCTTCCAAACTGCTGCTCCTTTGTTCCTCAAAACAAACAGGGCAGGTTAGGTTCTTCACTTCATTAGAATTTTTTGAGCCTATGGCTGGACCTGTTTCTTCCATGGGATTTACTGATGACTTCATACCATGCAAGTTCTGCTTGTCCACTGCTTCATTTATAAAAGGCTCCTGGTTGGCGTTTTGCCTTGCTGCTCTCTTTTTATCAAAAAAGCTCTCTCTGGGAGATGTTTCTGGAGGTTTTGTAAAATGGTCCTCGTTGGATTTCCCTGGTTGAAGCCTAAGTACAGTAGTTTCTTTGCCTTGTTTTAAGAAATTAGTAATGCTCCTTTGTTGGTATTTCTTGTCTCCTTCATTTAGGAAACCTGAGACACGCACACCTGGAATGTGACAAACAAGACATCTAATCTAAATCTGTAACTGACATCAAAGGGTATAAGAAAGTTTTAACACACCCATCCTATTTTGGTTGGTCTCTGTTATAATAACAAAAACAATGCTGTGAATGTGTGTTACCAACTGCTTAAGTTTAGACCCAGTCCTAAAGGTTTGCAAGCCATTTCCATCACTGTACTAGTCATTTCAATGCCCATGAATTCATCAGCATCATGAAATCCCATCAACTTCACGCAGTTATGTGGAAAGAATCAGACTCCAAAAGAGTCAATCCTAGATGGAATATTTTCTTCTTCAGCTATATTTTTAACTGGAAAATTACTTGTGTTTTATAATAGACCCTGGAATGGTTCAAGAAAGAAAAAGATAGAAAGGTACACAAGCTCTTAAGAATATTCAGGTCACAAAATCAAAGTACACTCATTTCCACAAGAAATTGTGGCACTACAGTCATAATACACCTAAAACAAAGTCAAAATACAAATGGAATACTTATTTAAGCACTGCTTTCTTAGAAAGATGACAGAGACAGATACTCAGCTACTATCTGCTATGGTACAGACAGGCTTAAAGCTTCCTTTAAGGCCACAGAGCTAAAGATTCCTATGGTCATAAGAGCTCATCTATCCCCACACTGACATAAGGGTAGGTTGGGTAGGTGTTAGTAAAGCAGCTACTTCAGAGCCAGCATTCAGTACTGCATAGTACTGCAATCTGGAACTGCTCTGACTTGAAGCAGTTCTCATGATTGCTGTTGAAAGGCAAGTACCACATTACTCTGAATAAGACATGAGCCTTGCTTTTAGAAGCTGGAATGAAGGGAAAGGGAATCTTTCCTAGAAAATACCAGTACGTAATTTTGCTGGGGAAGCACAAGCAGATGTAATAAATGTGGGGGGAGAAAAACTGTGGCTGCTAACACCCTAACTGCAGAATGTGGCAAGTGCTGCTGGCTGGACACCTGGCTCAAGAAGAGATGGCTTTAACAATATTGAACCTCAGGTGGCTCAGCAGGTGCTGCTGGCTGAGCCAAACTGCCTGGGCCCTCTTCTTGAAGCAGATGGGCAGCTAGCAGTGCCTGCTAGGTAGCTGATGTCTCAAACCTGTTGAAGCCAAACTGCCCAGCCCCTCTCCTTGAATGAGGTGGGCCCTCAGCTGAGTTGGCAGGCTCTACCAGCTGCCCATCCAGCTCAAGAAGAAGGATCAGCCAGCTGGGCACCTGCATAGTTAGGTTCTCTATTCTTCACATTTCCAGTAGCTAATTTTCAGGGTGAAAGGTGCATATGTATGCAAGTAAAAGCAGTACCTTTGGGTCAGCCCTAGGTGTACAGTTTGCTGCTATGTTACACTTAAGTATCTAGCTTTAAAAAGAAAAACAAAGAGTTTGAAACATTTTACCCATAAGCCTTAATCGCAAAGGGTGAGGGGCAACACTATCAATCTCTGTCCTTAACAGCTCTTTAGCAACAGCAAATATTTCTTCTTCAGTAGAAACTGAAGACAACACGGTGAAAGCTCTTGTTTTCACTTCAAAATTCACTTTTTTCAACTTCAGAGTAACAGTTTTACCCTAGAAAACAAACAAAAAAGCAAACAGTAGAGAAGAATCCTTAGAGCAAAGTACTTTCTCACACAGCTGAACTTCACTTTAGGGTGTACATAAGGGGCAATAGAATCAGTTTGCTGCACCATCAGCGCACTATAGCCATGCATTGACAGAAGTGCGTGGCTGCAGAGCGCTTTAAAAATGCCCAATTGGGCGACAATCTGAACCCTCATTATACCGAGGTTGGGGGGCTCCAATCCACCCATCCCACCCCAGAACGAGTTCCCTCTCCCATTCCAAAAACAGTGCCAGCCTTGGAGGGGGAAGGGGCAGGGCTAGGGGGAGAGCGGCTGCAAAGACATAGCCGCTCTAAACTGTAACTCATCTCCCAATCCCTAGGACCCAACAATGAGTGTCAGCTGCATGTCTGTCAGTGCCCAAAGGCATTAAAGAAGGGGGCCAGATTCTTGTTGCATCCAACTTATGCTGGGCAGGGGTGGGAGGAGGAAGGGCTGTCAAAGAGCCTACAGTAGGATTCTGTGCATGGCTGTAACATGCTGCCAGGGCAGAATAGTTGGAGACTGCTCTGAACTGTGCCAGCTGGCTATGGTCCCCAAAAGACCATCTGCCAGTTGCATATTGCCAATATGCTTTACACTCTAGGCATGTCAACTTCCACTGTTCTTATTAACTCCAACAATTCCTGAACTAGGAACTGCACAGCAGTGATAACTATGCATACTCATGCTTAGGGGATGCCCAATAAAGGATCTGAAATGAATGTCTGTTCCCCTTGCATCATCTGCAGGCATGTCCACATCATTTCTGTAGGACCCCCAAGGAGCCCCATTCTTGACCCCCCCACACACTTCTCGATAAGTTCCTCCTTGCACATGCCAAACTGGGAAATGAGGCAGTGACATACTGAGAGCACCTCCATGCAGCTTCTATGCTCTCTACGTCATGTAACCAGAAGTGGTGATATGGGACACCCCCAGAGTACTTTCTCCACCTTATTTCTGGGCTTGACATATGGAAATTGAAAGAGTTGGTGGAGCATGTACAGCAGTGGCACTCCCCAGGCTAACTAGAGCCAAAGATACCTTGAGTAGTGCAAATGGAGCAAAATGGGGCACAAATATATGCATGCAATTCAGTAACTTCTCAGCAAATGCCTTCTATTTGAGAGCGCTGCAACAGTAAAACTTAAAAGTACTTATTAATCTCTTTCTTCACTCACATTCAATGAGTTTGGATAACACAGTCAAACCACCAAAATGACTTAGAATCCTACGTTCAGATGGTTCATCAGTCAAATCAATTTAGTGCTTTAAAAATTCTACCCTTTACCTGTCTTAATGGGAGGATTTTATAACATGCACTTTCCTTATTGTCACAACTTTTCATGGCTGAGAAGGACTGATTGGGACTTATATAAGACTCTTGGTTTGCTATGCTTTGCTTTCAGACAGTGGTGTTCAACGTTTTGGCCCCATGGGCCAAATGAGTGGCACGGAACCTGCCTGCAGGTTGGATGGGGCTGTCTATGGCCCAGACTGGGGCTGAGGCCCAGCACTGCTCCCTCCCTGTCCTATGCACTGGGATTCCACCTTGGGCACCCAACACTGCCCCATCCTACCCCATGTGCCATGACTGGGTCCCATGGGGTACTGCCCCATCCTATCCCCCATATGGTACAATTGGGCCCTGGGGGGTCATTACTGCCCCATCCCATCCCTGATGTGCCAGGATTGGGTCCCAAGGGACCAGCACTGACACCTCCCTGCCATCTGTGGGCTGGGATTGGGTGGCAAGGGGCAGGCACCACCACATTTCCAAAGCCCTTGGGGAATCCTGCAGGCCGGATGACAGCACAGTGGGCTGGAGGTTGAGCACCCCTGCTTTAGCATGTAGGTTCCCATGGAAAAAAGTAAAGCTTTCTTTCCCAAAAATAAGTAGAAATTAAGTGTATACAGTCCATTATGTTTCATAAACCAACAAAATTTGTTATGGGCTGTGCCCACTAAGAATAAGTCAAGGAAGAATATACCATTTAAATGCTTTATAATTGCATACTTGGCCAGAGCAAGGTTCCTGGACAAACCCATGTTTTATGCAGCTCTATTACCCCTTTGGTTAAGAAACAGTTGTTTAGCAGAACATGTGCTACATGTTAAAAAAACTTGAAGAGCTGGTTTCATTTCTTACAGGCTCTCACAAGATAGCTTTCCGAGCTAAATGAAAATCCTGCCCATATCATTCCAATTGTCAGTGAACAAAAGGCCAGAAGACAGGTCATAATCATGCAAACAGCATTAATGACAACCATGTGGACCTGGGAACTCAGAATGATGAGACAGTAATTTTTTAAAACAGGAACAGAATGATTTTAAATACCTTAAGTCCTTCTTTCTGAAGGTCCTGAGCAAGATCTTTGCAGAGTTCCTGACACAGGTCATACTGATCTTCAGCTGTGTTCATTTCACCAAATGTCCTAAGTGAACATAGAAATCAAGTCTTTTTTCCAGTAGGCATCCTGGAATTCCTCAGGGATGATATGCCAAACAAAACCGTTTTTTTCATGAACAGAGTAATAAAGCTGCACCAGAGGAAGGCTCTGTGTATGTTTTTAAAGTGAGAATGAATATTTATAATAAACAGAAACATTTGTGCACATTCAATTGCAGTACCAAACAAAAGTGTTTGCAACCTTCACCAAACAAACAGTTAGTGGTCCAACTTTTCATAAAATGTTTTTAAAATATCAGATTCAGGATGCTAAATATTTACAAGAGAAAATGCGAATACAAACTGCATTGATGAACCCAGCCAAAACATTTGTATATAATCTTCTTGGCATATTGTTGTGAGACAACAAAGGAAAGAGGATTAGAAAGTCAACCTGAAAGCTAAGTACTGGAAACAAACAACAGAAGGTGATAAGAAAAAGATTTGAAGGTAACTATAAGCTAGTGTCAGAAGAGGGAAAACAAGCTTTTTGCAAAAACTGTAGTTAATTCTGCAAAAGTGCTGTGGTAATACCTTTTCTGGTCTGCATCTGGGTTGGAGGAGGAACTAGCCCTTATCTCTAAGACAGAAAGAGAACGTGAGCAAGGTAAACTGGGTAGACTGGGATACCACTCTATTGCACCTTACTCTTGAACAGCACATCACCAAAGCAACTCATTCCACACTCTAGGCATCATGTAAGACAGGAAGCTTTACTCTTCCAGGGGCTGACTGCTCCCCACAACTACTTGGATCCAACACATGGCTGCCAGCAACCCTCCTTCCCTCTGAGATAACAACCTTCTCCTGCTGCTTCCCCTCTTGTAGTTTAGGCCAGCATTTCTCAACCCGTGGGTTGCAACCCCAAAGCGGGTCACAAGAATATGCAGTAAAAGCTCTGTTAAACGGTATCCCCCATTCCTGGGGGATGCCGAATAACAAAATATGCCAGTTAATTGAGTGGCCCCGGCTGCCCCTCCCGCCACATTACTGACCCTCCTGCAGGCCCTGCAGGCCCCGCAGGACAGGGAGGTGGGCTCCATACAGCCCCACCAGCCTGTTTTGCCCCCAGGCGGTGGGGGCTCAGCAGTGCAGGCTGCTTTGCCCCAGGCCGTGGGGGTCAGAGAAACTGGAAGTGCCATGGTGGGCACTTCCGGTTTCACTTTTCCTTACAAGCCGGCATGCGAGTTAACAGAGCACGCCAGCTTGTAAAGTGCCGGTTACCAGAGAGTTTACTGTATATTGAAAGTGTCCTGAACAAACTTGAAAAATGGATCAACAAACTTTAAAAATGGATTCTCCTTTAAAGGATAAAAACATGGGAATCTGTGCCTTTTCCCTTGCAGGCTGTCAGAGTTCCAGCCTGCAAGGGGCTGCATGGGATCCCCCCACAACCTGCGCCCCCTGTCCCACAAACTCACCCCCTGCCCAACACACTGATGGGCTGGGGGGCAGTGGGCCAGGAGTAAAGGGTACTGGGTTGTGACTGGCCATCAATGTTTACAGATGGGTCCTGGTATAAAAAAAGCTTGTAAACCACTGGTTTAGGCTATGCTGATGGCCCAAGATTCAAACCCTGCTGATAAGTTAAAACAGACAATAAAAGGAGTACTCATTATTCTTTGGCTTGAACTATGTTGGTTCAAAAAGCTTATCCTAAAACATGACATTAAAAAAAAATCTGTGCCAAAATAATGTCAGACTGGTTACAAAGTTAAGCACTTGAAATATTTTCCAGCATTCTACTAGGTGGCATACTCTATTAACCGGCACCACACCGCTGCAGCCATCATCCACCACTCCATGCCACCACCACATGTAACCTCCCTGCACTGCCGCTGCACCGCCATCCACCACCCCACTCTGCTGCCATGTGCAAGTTGTATGCAACCCCCCTGCACTGCCACCACCACCATCCACTACCCTGTGCTGCTGCTGCGTGCAAGCTCCCCCCACACACCCCAGTCCAGTATTTTAAGATAACCGGCATTTTTACATGACCAGCACCTAGCATTCCCCACTCATGCCCAATAATAGAGATTTTACTGTATAACATAAATCTTGACTCTCTGCATGCATGTGTTTCAATACACTTAATTATGTGATTACAAGCTATTTTTTCAGGCCCCTTGCCTCATTCAGTAAGCAGGATAGATACACAAGGGGTATAGGTAACAAATGTGAAGGAAGACAAAGTGAGATACAGAATTAGAAAATATGTGGCACACCTGCCAGAAAGGTTGGCTCCTACAGTCTTAGATGATGGAATAATAAGAAAACCTTGATATGATCTTATTTCAAGGTGTCAGGTTGAATGAAAGATGACAGAAAAAAGAGGGTGGATAAGTGGGTATAAGCAAAATTATGCAGAACCCTTAAGGCAAAAGACAAGGATTCTTGAATTTGATGAGTGAAGTTGCTGCATATAAACCACCTGTGTCAATATATGTGAAATATCAACCTATAATTATGGGATATATTATGCTATATGTTGTCTCAGCCTCTAGCATTTAATCAAATAAATGTGATGATTACCCCAACTGGTTTTGGTTAAAGTAGTTTGTGTATTAAAATGCTTACCTTTCAGTGCTCATACTTTTCCTTTCTCCATCCCTAAAAAAAACAGTATTTTTAAAACATCAGTCACATTCAGAGAAAATCATTATTTTTTCATAACTCCATTATAATTAACCAGGCTGGTACAGTGATCTTTTCTATGGGATCTGAATGTTAACATTTCTGAGAATCTTCCATATTAACATTTAAAGTCAATAGAAAACAGCACAAAAACTGCCTTGTGTAACTGAGGCTATTGTAGCTGAAGCAATAAACAGTAATGGCTTGTAATACAATTAACCACTTGCAATGTGAGTCAGCTCTATCCATTAATGACCACAAAGGCTTTGTTGATTTAAAAACAAGCTAATACTTTATGTTTTCTTCAAAGACCTGCCTACCTATGTCATGCAATGTGTCCATGAAAAACACAAATATAATGGTGATTGTTTTTAAAGAGGAAAATTACTTTGTTATGACATAACGGGTGCATCTACATGTGCCAATTTAAGGTGCTTTTAGGGAACACATCTACATGTGTATGCCCTTAATATGCCTTAAAAATGGCAATTTTAGGTTATTTGCGCCTAAATTTGATACCTGCAAAAGCACATGTAGAGGCGTTAAGTTGCATTAATGCTGCCTATGGACTGATTTTGGAGTAACTTTAGTCCCATGTCAATCCACACACGGTGTTAATGCGCTTTAATGGGTGCATGTGTAGACACAAGCCTAAATTGCCTTAATGCGCGTTAAGCGAATGCACATTAAATTTAGGCGCACCTAAATGCACATGTAGACATGCCCCAAGAGTACCATCCTTTTAAAGGGTTACCTATGAAGGATATATTTCTTTTTTGAAACACTGCCTTATGGACCCTTTGTCGCTTCTTTCTATTATATAAAGAATGCATACTCGGGACTTTCCTAAAAATTATTTTTAACTTGTTATTTGCCTATAAAGATCAGAAATATATGTGGTCTTTTCTGTTTTGATCTAGACAACATCTAGCAAGTCTCAGCTCAAACTTCTTTGGAAGAAGCAAGGTTTTAAAAATGTAATAGGTTTTCCTTCAACAAGGGCTAGCCATTTAAATTAAATAGATGTTAATAAAATAATAGTAATAAAAAGTCTTAGACAGTATGGCTCAATCTTTTCCCCTTCTGAGGACTAATATTCATGTTCCTGTATCTTGTAATGTCCCTATTGCTTTATTTATTCCAGTTGTTATTACAACAAAGTCCCCCAGACTGTCCATCCTGATTTTCAAAGGAGGGGAAAAAAAGCCCCAAATGACAGATGCTTATTCAATCAATCATCAATGAATCAATCAATCAAAAAATAGTTCTTTATCCACCATATAGAAACAAAAAAAAAATGGCAAAGGATGATTTTATCCTTTTACAAGTCACCTCCAGCCATTCAGTGATGTTTACCTTGTATTCTGGAGAGACAAAGACAAAGATTTATGGTAGCACATATGAAGTTGAGATTTTCAATTTTTGTTAAAGAAAAAAAAAGAAGCATACTACAACAATGGCTTACACTTGTATAGTGTTTTCTGATTCCAAAGGTCCCAAAACTATTTTACAACATTTGTGTTTTTAAAAATCTGTTTGAACTATATGACATTATTTTGCAATGCTAAAGATTTCTCATTTTGCTAATCACTGGCTCAAACTTTTTTTGGTTCACATTCATGAAATACCCTCCTCCTCACTCTCTTCCACCTTCCTCATCCCCATCTTTTGTATTCAAATCACTTTATTTGAGGGCCAGTGCTGTGCATGTCTTTTCATAGCATCTGATGAAGTGAGCTCTTGCTCACAAAAGCTTATACATCTCTGATTCAGTTAGTCTATACAAGTGCATCTCTACCCTGCTTTCTCTGCCTTTTTAAGACCCATGCCACAAATTACATTTATTACGCAATTTACCAGTTAATCATGCAATAAATTTACACTGGCCACATATGCAAAGTAATTATCATACTATAAAAATGTCCATCCAGCTGCAAATAGAGCCAGTGCTTAAAAATGTGCAAAAACTTTATAGCTGGTTTCTATCCAGCTGTAACCTAAACATGTGGCAGGGCTCTAAATATGTAATACTGATGTGTATCCCTATGATTCTGTGTTAAAGATAATACAAAAGTAACACTTTATGTCACTACAGCCATGCTGTAAACTTTCCAACAGCCTGAGAGATATTGAAAAGTTGTTCTTCATTTTTTTCTCCTTCCGTCTTCTCCATTTGTTCCCCTTTCCCTTCCCCTTCTTTTCCCATTCTTCCTCCTTCGTACCCACCGGAAAGTTTACTTGCCCCCATTAGGCGTGCACATCTCAGTTTGAGAAAGACCATTCTAGATGGTAGAGAAGTAATATTGAATAAGGAATAACATTTTCAGAAATGTCAGAGACACTTAGAAGCCAAAGTTTCATTGATTTTCAACAAAATTTGATGTAAGTGCTAAATTGTTTTTTCTAAATGGAATTTAGATACTTTTGAAAATGGTATCTATAAGAAACAGCATGCCAAAGCAAGAAAAAAGATTTCAGAATCTTGAACTAGGCTCCTGGTAACTCAACTGAAAGCCATATGATATCACAGATTAGATTAGACATAAAGGAGGACACACAAACATTGAGTGCTACTTCAATTAATGAAAGAGTCAGTACTAGTACTAATCAAATAAGAAGTAAAATATCAAAACACAGTAGGCATTACTGGAACTGAAGCAGATCCTCAGCTTGGATGGAATGGAGCTATGGAAGTTAACATGAGTTGAGGCAATGATGCTCTATGTTTATCTTAAGATCACGTAATAAATAATTCATTGAAAGTGTTTTAGTTACAAGAAACAAACACTTCTGAATTTCTTTGTTTAGATAACTGTCAGATTCTAAGAGTTATCTAACAACAGGCACACACTACATATTTATCTCAAATGATGCCCTATAAATTTTGTTGTGTAGATTTATGGATTTTTGGCAGATTTTTTAGATTTTAGCAACAGTTTTGGTTTGGATAAATTCTATTGATATTATGCTCAGAACAGCTATACAACAAGTATATTAAATATACATGGAAATATGTTTAAAAGCAATTGTTTTAAAAGTTAACATTTGGTACAGCATTAAAGCATTTGTTACTTGATATAAAAGAACTAAATTACAATGATATTTTATATCTTAAGATACAAAATACACGTGAAATACACACCTGATAGATATTATTAAAGTCAAACTCAGCAAATATGTATTAACACATTAATAGCATATAACTTCTCTTGGAAAACATTTAGCAAAATGTAAAGTAAATATGATAAAACAAATGCTAAATCATACTTTTCCAAATGGGTTGACCCCAAACCAAGTGAGATATCCAAGAAGTTACGCCAAGATGTTTCTGAAAAAAGAAGAGAAATTGGTGCCCTCTGCTGGTAAAGTTCCGAGCAAGTCAAAATTCCAAGAGCTTTTAACAACTTCTCTGTTACTTTTCCTATACCAGGCACCTGAAGAAGAAGAATTAATGAAGTGTGAATGAATTTGGAAACTGAATTCTTCAGATGAAAGCCTGAGATGCAACACAATTCAAGCCAAACACAACATTGAAATTAAGCAAATTACTGAAAAATATAACTATTTTGAAGCAAATAATCTGATTTTAGAACAGCAGTACTCCTGTACCACCTGTCTGCCTAGTGACTGTGGCAACACAACTCACCTTCCTAATGGGCAAATCTTTTACGAAGTCCATCACAGCTTGTCTATCAGGAGGAATTCTGAATTGTCCATTAGGCTTATTCTGATCACTGCACATTTTTGCTAACATAGTGTTTGGAGCAATTCCTTAAAAAAAAGAAATGTTATTTTAGCCATAAGTCTTATTCTTATAAGATTCCATGGTGTGAGGTTATCCAATGTCAGACTTTCCTACATCTGTGTGGAAAAGACTAAACAAATTGAGAAAGTAGGAGATGATTAGTATTCTAAGAAGATTTATCTGGTAATGTTCTATAGCAGTGGTTCCCAAACTTTTTTTTTTTTTTTTTTTACCGCAGACCAGCAGTGGACCCGGGCGGGAGCGAGGGACCACGGAGCTAGACCAGGCCGGGAGGGGGGATGTGGCAACATGAGCCTGAGGAGCCGAGCCAAGTGAGTGATGGGGGGGTGGCATGTGCCTGAGGAGCAAACAAGGGCCATGGTTTGCCCAAGCAAACAAGGGCCAGGGTCCGCTGGTTGGGAACCTCTGTTCTACAGCACATTTTTTACAAGTATAGGCTCATGAGAACTGTTGCACTTCATTTTATCATGTCAGCTGTGGATTTTCTATATAAGTTATACATTAGACTGAACTTGCAAAGTATCTTGAGATTTTCAGGATAAAAAGCAGTATATACAAGTGCAACATTTCATTAAGTGCTGAGGAATTAATTCCTTTAAACAATCCCTTTAATTCCTTCACACTTTTCTGTAACATCAATTACAAGAGCAAGTTTGTGCTGAAAAGGAAATATTTGGGTCTAGATATGAATAAGGGTTCTCTTAAGCACAGTTCAGATATTAGATTAAAATAGTTTGAACAAATTTAACACACTAAAATACTAGACCTTCATCAATACATAGTTCTTGAGAATTAAGGCTGATTTAATACTTTATTTATTCTTTTTCTATTTCTTGCTTTTTGTGGTGGACAGATTTCATTTCACAGATGAACCTCAGAGGAGACTAACAGAAAACTAATATACTAAGTCTTCACTCTGACCTAAATGAGTTAAAGGCTAATTACTGGAGATGCTAGGAATCTTATTTCATATATCGTAACTATTCTTTCCCAATTAACCTCCTAACTTATCAGACTTAAAACAATAATTGCCTTTGATTTGTGTGTCAAAACTTGATGTTTTGTGTCCATTTTCTGAACAGTGGAAGAGGATAAAATTTGGGATTTTCAGCCATGTATCAGGGTTCCTCCAGGTTTTGCAGGGTCCTGCATAAAATTATATGTGGAGTCACCATCAGGCTTCTTCCCATCCTCTTTCTTCATCCTCTTCTTACAAACAATATTTTCTGCAGTACCTTCTGCCTGCCTATTCCCCCTCTCCTTACCTATGCCATCAAACTTCTGGCAACTCTCTGACATGGCTTAAGAAGCTATTAAAGCAGCTTTTGAAATAAGTCTCTAGGGGTGCCTATGCATGAGCGCAGAGGCAATTGCTACACTCCAGCAGCCTCCTGTGTCTCATGTATCACCATCCCCATGCTTAAAAATAGTGATAGGGGTGCTTGAACTATAGGTTGTCAAACAAGCTTTAATTCAAATGCCTCCCGCTGCCATTTTGAAGCCCAGGAATGCTGATACAGGAGATGTGGCAGCACTTTAATTATAGTGACTTTTGGAGCTGCTCTACTTAAAGCACTGCCCCCTCCCACCACCTCTGGAGCATGTGTAAAAGTGCTAAGAAATTTAATCTTTGACAAGGCCAAACAGGGGTAAAATTTAGAAAGAGTAGTACAGATTGAGTTGTGGAAAGGACAAGTTGCAGAAATCTAAAACTGCCACCATCTTGAAAGGCAGATACTATGATGTCCAGTTAATAATTTGCTTCCCTTTTAACCTGTGAATATACCTGATGTTCAAGAAAGTGAAAAATTAAAAAAAATAGTTTGTACAAGACACAGGGTAGACATGGGTTCAGCATACAGATCCACATAGCTCTGCTAGCATGTCTCTATATTAACCAGCATGCACTATAGCATCCATTGTTAGATCTGATCAGAAGCTTACAAAAGCAATGCTCTACATCTGGATTTAAATAAAACATATGTGTACCACAGCAAGACTAGCATCTGAGTCCACTGGGTTGCTTTTCCACACTGTTAAAAAATTGGAAAGGGAAGTAGGACACAAACAGATGACATTATTACTGTCATTTACAAGCAGATTCGGTACCAATGACGGACAACAGATAAAAAGAAAGATTTTCCTCCAGTTAAATAAGGCCCAAGTGTAGTTTCTACTCTTGACTCTGAAACAGATTCTTTGTGTGGACTTATGCAAGGCACAATCTCTGTGCCTGAGTTTACGCATCCATACATATGCTTACATTGCAGGAGTGTTGCAGGGCTATCTTTTAACACTTGTAATACACTTTGAAAGCAGAGATGAAAGGCATCATGGCAGTACAGAGTATTTTTATTTATGTACAGTTGTGTACCTGCGCTAGCAGTCAGTCTGGTTTTTTGCTCAATCCTGAAGCGTATTTCCTTCACAACTTCCTCGGCAGAAGTTCCAAAGACAATTGAATTTAACAACTGCTGATCTCTCTGCTCTTCAGTGTGGAGGTGAGTAGTAGTGATAGGTTGTTCCTCTGCCAGAGAAGTGTTATCTTCAAACAATATTAGTGAAGAGGAGAGTGCATCTTCATTCAATTTCAGTTCATCAGGTGTATTTAGATCTTGTTTACCTGCAATATAGAAAAATACCCAGATGCAGAACTCATCCTTCTTAGTAAACAGTTTATACTTCAGAAATTGATTCCCTTACACACCTTCTGACAAAAGCCAAACTGGCTATTTCAGTTTCTTCTGTGCACAACGTTCAGGTAATTATTTAGCTGAAAAAAAACCCTTACTTTTGAAAAAAAAAAAAAGAAGTACCACAAAAATAAAAGATGTTACCACTTTGATCTTTGTGTGACCTTCAGATTACAACTGCCTGGACAACTGAACTTCACTTCCCCAAAAAATTCACAATACTGAATTATTTTTGTCCCAAATCAGAATGAAAAAACATTTTTTTTCTGGAAGAGAAATTCTACTGCAAAAATGTTTTGATTGTTCCAAAACAGAAACATTTTCAGGCTCTCTGGGAACCCTGAAAGACCCAGAAATCTTGCCTCTACAGTTGCTCTAAACCTAGAAAACCTGGGAGCCTTAGCATAGAATAAACTTATTTTGAATGGCTCTAATTCTGCAAGTGATTTTGGCTCAATGGATCTCTGTCTGGAAGAAGCCCTGTTGACTTTAAAGAGTTTGCTCGTGAGTGCAAATGTACTCCCACATAGATCACTTCCAGTATCAGTGTTATTGATATACAGATCAACAAAATACAAAACTAGCATTCATTTCAGTGGAACTTCCCTGTACTGAGGATTTGCCTGTGGCATAAAACAATATGGCAGTTTTTCCATTTAAGATAGACATGACTTTCTTCAGAAGAATTCAAAGTATACAAATGTCAGCTCCCCATAATTTGTAAGAAAATTGCCTATTTTGTTTCTTCTGAGTTTATCTAAAAAAAAAAAAAAGGTCTAATATTTTTCAGCCAAATTGAAAGACATCCCTGTTTATCCCCTTAATGATTTTCCCAACAGTTTTAAAAAGCTTGGGGATAACAATCTTGCTTTTAACTTTGTGCATAAATAAACAAGTTGCACAAACATCTGCCCAATGCCCCCGGTGGTGAATCCAACTGTGGATGGAGTTTCCACCTCAAGTTTCAACATGCAGATCTCAATTTAGTCACCTTTTAATCATTAACATATTCTTAAGGCTTCACTTCTTACATGTTTCTATACCTGTAATACATTTAAATAGAGCTCAGGTGAGTTGCTGTTGTAATAGGATTTCTCATTCTCTGAAGGCACATCTGTGTACTAAAGTAAAGTATACACCAATTAAAAATGTGTTATGCCAAACTGTAAAAGCAAGGAACATTTAAAATATTTATTTTGGTTTATGAACACACTAATTTGTTTACCATTTCTGAACACACTAATTTCCTTACCATTTTCTGTAATGTTGTCTGTTTTGTAGAAGTATTTTCTTTTATCTTCAGGCCAGTTCTGTCTTTCCTCCAAGTACTCTGTTATGTTCAGGTAGGCTTCATCAAGGCCCACAGGCATAAAATTTGGATCATACTGAGCCAGGATTTTTCTAACCTTAATAAATATATGGAAATAATTTAAAATTATGTTGCTGTGGCAAAACTTTTTGGTGTATATTGCAATTAAGCTGATAGTTATATAATAACACTGACCATAATCAACTTAACATGTATGAACCCACCAATATTATTATTATAAGAATTTATAGAATAAACTAACATGGCAAAACATATTCCTCTATTGTTTTTCCACCAGTCAGGTCAGGTTTACCTGCTACTATAATTTACAGCAGATGGTACTACCTTTGACTATTAACGGCAAGTGCTGGGTGGTGGTTAATTAATCTGAAAACCTAATGCTAATGCTAATGGCTTTGGGCAAAGGAGCACCTCAGAGGGAGGTACTAGTCTTACTATTGGCAGAGAAAATGCCACTAAAAGGTTATGGAACTGAAGCCTACTTCACAATAAGGTAGACTGGGCTCTGTAACCCCAGCAGCCAATCTAGAAGTGGAGCCCCAACAGACAGACAAATGGATGATCTTTGCTCCACAGCTCCTGCAACTAAACTGTTTCCAAATGTACTGGCACCTGCCTTGCCTTTGGACTACACCAGCAAGGGCGAGAGGGGGACACTAATATGTGGGCAATCTAATGCCTCCATATATACTGCACAGGCTTTTGCACCCTGAAGAGGTCACTCCAGCTTCATATTTCATACTTAACAAGCTGATGCCTCTTAGTGCAATTATATTGTCTTTCAAGACAGAAGGATACCTATATACTGTGGGTGTGTCTACACATTCATTGATGTGCAGTGCCTACTGCACATTAAATTTAGTACTTGCAAAAGGAAGTACTAAATAAACGTGCACTAGGTTGTCCTACTATGCTTTAGCGCGATTGTACACTTTTTTCATGATGGTTAATGTGCAGTGGCCTAATACTACTGTGCATTAGCCTAATAGCATGGTTTTTGCTGTGACGCTGTAATGCACAGCCAATCAGTCTACTGCGCATTAAGCATCTCATGCAGAAGTGCCCTGTTTCTCCATTAATAACAGCAGGTAATCAGTAATACATGTCAGAACCACAGACATTCTGTGGGCAATGCATATTTTACTCAAGAGGCTGCTGGGGTATCCGTACAGAAGGACTATACATTCTTATGTCATAAATTTCACAAGATATTGAACAAAGCACAAAAGGTCCAAGAGGTGAACAGAATCCTCGGGCAAAATATAATCTAATTCATAATTGTCTTGTGCTGTTCTGTGCTTTAGATACCTGAAGGATGTCATCTTTAATTCAACATGAGGAAAACTGCCTCACAGAAGTCTTTAATTATACATAAAACAAAAATGTACTTGACAGCTTAAGGATACTTGTCAAGGATGATGGGCAGCTTATTAGAAACAGTTCTTAATGCTAGCTGATGTTCTACTAGTCATCACTAAATTCACTGTAGATCATAAGTACATTGCAATGCTATTGATCAAACATATAGCAGTTGGGGGGTTTCTTATACTTAAAAAAGTTATTTGTTTTATAACCATATCATGCAAGATTTTGCTAACATCAGTGCTGTGTAATAGTATAACTTTTTTCAATTTCACAGAGATTTCCCTTCATTAAAAAAATTACACTGCATTTATTCAATGTTTGTGTTCCTAAGCCTGTTTCAATCATCTAGCAGATCTTCACTTCCCAACACCAATCATGGCAGTCATCTTTTATTTAAATATTCTTTTGAATAAGTGCAAATAGCAGCATCTTAGACTAAATGCTCAAAAGAAAATTGGCACCTATTTTTTAAATGACAACTGATTCATTTTGTTGTTAAAATGCTTATTTAATAGTTTGAGTAAAAATTATTAACTTAAAACTTCAAGGACAATTATGTGTCCTTCCTGTTTTTGAAACTTACTAAAGGCAGGGCCTATTGCACAAGTTTTGATTGCAAATGCAAAATCAGTTTTAATTATTTTTAATCTAGGTCCCAGTGGACAAGGTACATATAAGAAAAACAATCATCACAAACACAATCTTCAGTGTTTTTTCTCTTATCCAACATACAAACTACATACAAGTCTTGGTAGCCCAATTACATAATCAGCAAATCCAGCACATTCCCAACATGCTTTGGTATTTATACAATAAGTATGTTTTAAGACAAAACTGAAGGTGAAACCTAAACAAACTCAGTAGGGCTGTCCAAAGCTTCAGTCCCTAATTCAATTCGGTGAAGATTCAATCTGATTTGGTGGCCGAATCTCCAAATCCAAATCAAATTAGGAGACCTTTTAATTTCTACAAATCAAACTGGAACCCTCCAAATTGTTCTGGAGTGATTCAGAAAGATTTGACAATTCAGATATAGACACAGCTTTAAATGTTTTTTCTACATACCTCAAGGTACCAGGTGGCTTGTGAATGCTGTGATGCTGGGGTAGATGGAATGTCCCATAGGAGCGCAGCAGTGGGTGAGAGGGGGTTGTCCCCAGCGCGTCTGGCAGCAAACCTGGATGTGGACCAGAAGCACTTCCGGTCCACTTCCATGTCTGCTGGGGAGTCCGTGAGAAGGGCCCCATCGGCTTGGTGATTGGTGTTTCCTGGGTCTGGGGGGGCACCCGGGGTTCCCCTGCAGCTGATCGCTGAGCTGGGGGAACATGGAACGCGCTCCCCAGCAGACCCAGAAGTGGACTGGAAGTACTTCTGGTCCACCCTCCGGTTTACCACCAAGCACATGGGGGGGCCCCCCTGCGCTCCTGTGGAACACTCCATCCACCTCAGCATCGCAGCGTTCACAAGCCATGCCTGGTACCTCAAGGTATGTAGAAAAAACATTTAAATCTGTGTCTATGGCCGAATCACTGATTCTTCAGATACAGCTGAATCGAATCGGGGTCAGTGATCCGAATCAACGAATCGAATCATCGTCCCTGATTCTGGCCAAATCAGAATCCAAATCGAATATGGCCTGTTACACACACCCCTAAAACTCAGTATTTAGCTAATATGTAACTTTATGGAATAAAAAAAAATAATCTTGCATTTAGGGTACAGACAAATGCACATTTGTAGCTGCTTTAAAAGGGAAGAGGAGCCATTACCTGTGACCATACCCATCTGTTGTGCTATAATGGTTGTGTATAGCTATAGAAGAGTGGTTTTCAACCTTAGACACAAGACACCCCTTGAAAAATGCCTGTTAACTTTCACTTGGTTTTTTTGATTACAGAAAAGTAACAGAGCAATTATCCTGTTGCAAAGAACACAGAAAAACCACAACAGGTTAGAATCCACTATGGATTCCTATTTGAAATCTCTATGTTCAGATAGGCGCGGATGTCTGGTATGTGGTGTCACAGACTAGTTTGCAGTGCCTCACACCACACATGCAGGCATTCCCCATGCTGCAGGGGAGGGGTTTGATCCCAGGATAAAAAAAAAAACCATGCCGTAAAAAAAGTGGGGCAGCACATGTGGTGGCAGCATGCACTGCCCAAAACTGGAGCCTGGCTGGCTAGAGCCACACTCCAGCTGCCAGCCAGGCATCCTACCATGGCAACAACCCTGGGAGACCCCCCAGGACCAGGGCTAGCTGGTTCTATCCTGTGGAAGTTGTGGCTGCAAGGGGCCCCGCAGCCAAGGGACTGTGCCCTGCTTGCCCCCTGCCACCTGCACCATGTTTAAAGGGCTCGATGCAGGCAAGGAGCCCCTTCCTGGCTGCGCGGGAGGAGTTCCTGGCTCTGCTCCCGCCCTGGCCCTGGGGAGGGAACCCAGGTGTTCCCAGCACATGCTGCCTCCACTCTGCACTTCCTGCAATGCAGCCTGGCTGCAACTATTCTATTTCAGTGAGTTTATACTGCAATGACCCACAATTTTGATTTTTTTATGGATTGGGGGCCCCAAAACTATATCTTGCAGGGGGCTCCAAAAAATTGTAGGCTGGCCCTGCCCAGGAGGGGGCAGGGTGCTGAGCGGCCGGACACGAAGCTAGCAGTAGTGCGGAGCCATCATGCTGCTCCACCTGGCTCTGCGGGGCCCTCCAAAGCACAGGGCCCAGGGCAGTCACCCCGATTTGGCCCCCCTAAGGATGGCCCTAGCTAGATCTGGGGCCACAATAATCCCTGACAGCTCAATTGAAGTTAATAGACTTAAAATCTACAAAATATACATTTGTCATTCTTGGTATATGATATATATGTATATATATAGATATATATACACATCATATAGCATATAATTTTTTTCCCTAAATATTACTACTGATGTTAAAGTTGAGCTTTTGTAACTTACCCATATGGAAATTATACTCTAAATCATTTTATTTACATATTAGGAGAGCACAAAATATTTAAATATATACAACTATTCATCATAATGTATTAATTATATGCAGTGTGCCTTCCATTTTAATAAAAGGGAGTGTACTTTTCTAAGTACAAATAATCACCTTTCCTCCCCTGTCTTCTCTTTGCACCCCAGTCCCTTATTTGAGAGCATACCTAACTGAAGTCACTAATGCTCTTTGCTTCTTTCTCTCATATAATTAGCGCTCCATGTGGTCATTGTATGCGAATTCTCTCTGAGCTTAGAATTTACTCCTAGTTTCCTCATTATTAGATTATTGCCATAGATTTGAATTTACTGATATAATAATATTTTTTGGCATCACTGGTTCACTACATAATTTTGAAAACCTCCATTAGCCTCACTATTTACTTCATTAGAATTGAAAAGGATAATGAATTTGGCCCCTTATGTCCTCATAGTCATAAAATATCCATTTTAATATTATATTTAATTTAAATTCAAAATCTTATTGTGAAAGACTTTAACCTTTAAATGATCATTTTAATAACATTTGCTGTTGCCTTAAAATTCCAAAAAGCACAGTGCTGTTGGTTAGAAAGATGTTCTCTCACAAAACTTACGTCTTTGCTCACTTGTCCGTATTTTTCAAAATTTAATGGGACTATGGTAAGATGTGGGCACAATTTCTTAGCAATAAATCCCGGCATAGCTGCACGTACTCCAAATCTCCTAGCATGGTAGTTTGAAGTTGACTTAGTAGAAAAAAAATAGGTTTAGAGTTAAATTATCAAATTCTACAGAGTATTGCTAAATTTAAATATGCAGAAATTTGAAAGATTAAAGAAAATAAAGCTATATACACTCCTGCCACAGACAATCTATCAACTCACAATAACTAAAACTGTGACTTCAGTATAGTACGTATATACTATAGCTTGTAATGTGTTTACATCATGAGAACTGCATGATTCTGGGGTCTGGAACTTGACAGTTTTTGTCACTGGTTTACTGGATTAAATTAAATCAGTTTCTTAACTGATAAACTCAGAAAAGCACTAACAACTAGCATGTTAGACACAACAGCATAGGACTGAATAGGTACAGACACTGCACCCCAATGACCATAAAAGCTGGTCTTTCCAGGCATAATTGGCTTGATATCATGTCATATTTCTGTGGCTGATGATGCCATCCCAGTTCTGTGAAAAAGGACTACTGATCCAACATCTTTTACATGCTCTTTAAGCTACGCTAACTCTTTTTTGATTTAGGAGGTTTAGACCCTTGGCTTTTTTGATTTAGGAGGTTTAGACCCTTGGTACACATTCATTTAATGGCATGATGAGATCTAATCCCTGATTTCAACAATCATGCTTCCTACTATGCCACACGTGCATGACAAGGAGTGCAATTGTGGAATCAGAGATCAGATCCTAAACATGCCATTACTACTTACTCTTCAGGGGGATCCTGGGATCTTAATTCTGGGCTCCCCCTACACCAGGAATTTGAAAGAAGAGTGCCTGCAGATCTAGCTGAGCTGACAATCAACTGATTGTCAACTGGATGCTGGGATCCTAGCAGGGCCTTGAACTGGCTCTAATGTGCTCTGGGGCCTTGCTGACAAATAGCTGACTGCTGGTCCCAGCTGAGATTGGGACTGTCCTGGCTGTGCTGACAGTCAGGTGATTGTCAAACCTTGTGCCTGGCAGCTCTGGCTGAGCTGATGGATATGGGTCATCAGAGGCTCCCAGCAGGAGGGAAAGGGGGAACACAACTTGGGGACTTCAAATCCTGCTAAGAGCCTCTGATCTCCTATGCCAGGCATCCCAGCAAGAGCTGCCTGGAAGGGGATTTAAGGTCCCCAGTAGGGAAGCTACCTAAGTGGCACTCTTTAAAACTCCCCCTCCACTGAAATCCACAGTGTAGCTGGTGAGCTGGGAGCTCCTAACTCCCTATGTTCCACACCATGAAGTGGTATCTGCAACTGGGGAGCAAGGAGATCTCAGCTCCCTAGCTGCTGTTTCCACAGGCACCCTGGGAATTCAAGAAAGCAGGTGTACAACCTGGGTTCCCACATGCAAATACACTTTTATAAAGTCCATAGTGCAGTGAGCCTGCAATCAGAGATGCTCCCTGATGTCGACTCACAGTGCCCCCCACATCTACCTCTAGGGATCAGACAAGGGTGCCAGGTCCAGGACCTGATGCTGTCCCCAGCCTAATCTTATTGATCTTGTAGGGGATGGCTGTGTCCCAGACTCTGGGCTGCTCCATGCCAGGTCCCTATACTCAGCTGAGCGTGGGGATGTCATGGGTCAGACCTGACATACTACGTATTCAATTTAAGACATGATACAAATGAACCACAAAAATGTCACTCATATGCGGAATATATTTGTGGCTCATTTGCTATATTATCATGCCATAAATTGGTTTTAATATGTGGCCAGGTTACTATTTATGGAGTGATTAAAACCTTAATCGTGCCTTAAATGTAACGTACCAGGCAGGGCCCTCTCTCCCATATTAATAACAACAATTTCTAATTGAATATTTGAATCTTTGAACTGACTGACCAGGCTCAAAGTTAATATCAAAGACAAAATTTCCTTTTCTGCAACCTCTTTTTAATTCCTAAGTTTTGCAAACTACTTAGGTCTTTGAAAAATAAAACCCAAATTTACATGGCGAGAAAACATATACTTTCCATCTGTGCTTATTCTCTCTGTACTCATTTTTAGAAGTCCCATGGCAGTAATATTTTCTTTCATTGAATATACTCATAATTTGATTTGTGCATCAGTCTGGTATTAAATCTTACCAACATACTCATTGATCCCACTGCTATAGGTTTTTTTTTCAGCTCTGGGTTGTCCCTCATTTCTACTGCTGCATAAAAGGCATCCATGTCAATGTGGACAATAGTGCAGCTGAGGTCACGGCTTTGTTCTAGCTCCATCACAAGTTTGTCAACCTGAACAAGCGTATCAGATAAACATACACAATAATGAAAAACATTTTAACCTGGCACGTGCAACACAGTCCAAATCAGCAAAAAAGAAAGGGTATATTTTTCACATACTAAGGATATGGCTACATGAATAAGGTAGTTACACAAGATAGAGCGTGAACTTATAGTTCACTGTTTGCCACCCATGCATAGGTTTCTAAGTACGAAGCAGTCTGACCCTCGATGAAAGCAGGGTAAGCTATCTTACATTTCTTGTGGTAGTAACATGTATGTGGCTATTACCATGGAAGAGCTAGCGTGCTTTAAATTCATATCCTAGCTTACTTCATATTGATTTGTTCCCATACCCATATCCTCAGAGGAGAAAGCTTGTTTCAGCTTCAACCTGTTCTCTGGGAAAACAATATAGTGAACAGATGGCAAAAAGAAAAAACGAAGAGTCTGTTGTATTTACACATGCATACCCACATGAATACAAGTATATTAACCTTCTGTATCAACCCACACACATTTGGTTTTACTAGAGCTACTTTTTAAGGGAAAAAAGGTCATAAGCATGTACATGTACAGTAGTTCTTTAAATGTGTTGTACACGTGTGCACTGCACTTCAGGTGAGCACATTCAGTGCACCTGAACCAGAAACTTTTGGTCAGCAATATCCTACAGGAGCAGTGCATGCATCACAAAAGCCTCATACTCCTGAGCAAGGGACAAAGACACTTTATCCAGCCATAAAGGGGCTACTACTTAATCTAACCAACAGGTCCTTTACAACCAAAACCCTGCTGGTCCTATGTTTTGCAAGTAACTGGGCCAAAGGGCAAGTTGTGGACTATGTAAGGAGCCCGGGGTGGGCAAAATGCAAACTGCCAGGCCATTCTATCCAGCCCGCAGGGCACCTAAAAAATTTATAAAATTCATATTTATCTGCTCCTAGCTGCCTGTCTTGCGGCCCTCGATAGCTTGCCAAAACTCAGTGAGTGGCCCTCCACCCGAAATAATTGCCTGCCTCTGAAGTAGACAGAGTCACGGTATCAAGTTTTCTTTCTTTGACTGACTATGCATATCTGTTTTTCACTTAGGTACTTCCCCAACAGTAATCTTTAGGTCAGGGCTGTCCAACTTATTTGGCCCTCTGTGCCAGATCCAGACCATGGGGTTTCTCACAGGCCAGATAACCTACCTCTGGCAGCAGGTAATAGCATGTCAGCATTGCTCCAAAACCTGCTTCTCCCTGCTACTGATGTGAGCTGCCAGCAGTGACCAAAGATCCTGAATTCAGTCCAAGGCAAGAGGGTGGCAGAGGGGGCAAGCATTCTCTCCCTGGGTTTAAGAGCTGTGCCAATGCAGCAGCTCTGGCAGCCACACCAATAGACTCCACAGGCTGCAATTCTACCCTTTGTGGGCTGCCACTAGGACAGCTGTGCCTCACATGATGAGAACTCATTTTTCACTTAACAGAAAAAAAGTGGATTATGCCCACTATCAGTTGTTAAAGCCTGGGGACTCGGGTGTAACTATGCTGGTACCACATTAGGGGGAAAGAAACCAAGAGAGAGGGAGAGAGAAAGGTAATTTCAGAAGAAAAAAACAAAAGACAAACTATCAAACTACAACTAACTAAACAAGTGACTATGGAGACCACTAGGTATTTGCACAATAAAAGGCTGCTCATAAGCAGGAGAAAACAACCAGTTCAAAGCATCCCAGGGAACTCTTGACTCTTAGCCATAGGCATTTAAAAGGAAATGAAGGCTTATTCAGGTGTCCTTCCTTTTAAACATTTTCCTTTAGGACACTCATAGTACACATACCACTAAAACAGGGTACTCACCTAAACTGAAACACATCTGTGTTCACTCACTTGAACTCAGGTTTTGTTCCTTTCTACTCAGTTGAGCTGAGGAGACACCATTTTTGCAGCTGATCACAGTTACAATAGCCTGTAAATGTCTTGACAGATCTGCTACAGGAATCACTATTAGTAATCTGAGATATTATTTTCCCATCCCTCTGGTTCGCTCCAGTTCATTTGCTTGAAGATTGATTTTCTTTCACGTGTGCAATGCACAGCATAGTCTCCTAGATCAGGGCTGTTCAACTGACAGCCCATGGACCTCATGCAGCCTGAGAAGGGTCTGTGCAGCCCCTGGACTCCCACCTCCCCACTACTGTTACAGCTGCAACACCAGTCAGGGTTTTGGGGCTCCCCACTCCTTCCCCTGGCTTCTGTCACATGTCACATTTTTTCTGATCATCTCCTAGTCTACAAATGATCAGCAGGTTATTCTTAAACTAAAAGTGCCTTCATATTGTTTGAGTTTATGCTGCCTTGCAATCCCCTAGTCACATTATTTAATCTGTAGTTTTCTTCTATCATCTTTAAACACAACTTCCTCTGTTTTCCCACCAACCATATTAATAACATGTGATGCATGATTCAGATTCACTAGTATCTGTTACCCATATTTAAAAAAAAGAAAAGAAAGAGAAAAAGAAAGAGAAAGATAACCCTCCTTACACTAGTCATAAATGATAAAAATATTTAAAACAGTCACAAGAACTCCTTAAAAAAATAGACTAAAATAAAAGCTTTGGGGACTGACTTCCAGGAACCATGCTTGTTCAGTACTATATTCCTTGGTAAAGCTGAAGAAAGTTGGAGTAGCTTCTCAGAGGTGAGCCAGCTATGAATACTTAAAGAATTGTTTTTCATCTCACAGGAAAAAAATACTTAGATAAGTATGGTTTCTTTTTTTCTAAAATACAGGGAGAGGAAAAAAAACTGTAAATATCTAAGTTTTAAGCAACAAAGTTTTAAAATTCTTTTTTTCCTTGATATTTTTAGACAGATACACTGAAAAAATTCTTTGCAACTTGTCCTAAGATGCACAATAGATACCAAAAAAAAATTTTTTACATTATATAAATGTAGTTAATAAAGTGGGCATTTAAAAACTTAACCTGGTACTTTTTTATGTTTGCAAAACCATCTAATAGACTGGCAAGAGACTAAGAGTAACCAGTCATACCCTGTGACAGGGGACAACAGTTAAAATCTGAACTATAATTTACACGTATAAAAATGGCACATTCAAACACCAGCTGTGTAATTGCTAGTAATAGTAATGAAAGTTATTAATTAATTACAGTACTGAACCAATTAATTAAAAAATCCCTATCTGAACCTCCTGCTACAGAACCTCAAGCACTTCTGGGAAGATAGTTTGGCTAATCTAAATAAGTCATGGACAATTTATCAAAACTGGGAACTTGCTGCATGTCATAATTATATATAAAAACTTTTGCTGCCTAATCAACCAATATGGCATTCATGAGGCATGGAACTCCAATCTTAGCATTTAGGATTTTAAATGTAATTTATAAGGACAAATTAACATCTTTAAAATGCTAATGGTCAATTTTAAAGTATTGCCAAAACTCTACAAGTATAATGATGACATTAGAGATTACGTTGAGAGACTCTCCTCTGTACCATCTGGCTGCAAAGGATACTCTCTAAAGAAAATGAAAAATATATTAATGGTATTTTAGGTTTCTGATGCAATTGTTAAGTCCCATGGCACCTGCAAGCTCTATTACATCAGCAAAACACTAAAAAGAGCATACTATATTCTAGGAATCACAGATTATATTGTTACCATGTTTATTATCAACAGGATTCTGTCCAAAAACGGGGGGAAAAAAGGCTTTTTCAAAGTCCTAAACATTTCAGTATCAGTGTAGACTGCCTCTCTGAGAACAGTTATATTCCTGGGCATAAAAAGAACTGACCCTCAAAACTTCTTATGTTCTACAAAGCGGTAAGATTTAATATAGAAATAAGAATTTACAGTCTTAAACAGAAGCATGGATTTACTGGTGTCTCATTAATTCCAGACTAGTTGAGGAGAAGGGATCATGTGATGGCACATTTGTAGGCAACATCTGAAAATAAGAGGTACAGAATTTGTAGAGGAGAATAAAATAGAGAATGAGCACAAAGAAACAGAGAATATGATAAACGAATGAAGCCCATTGGCAATACAAAACTGGTGTTAAAAACAACATTGGGCTAACCAGATTTTAAAGGGCCCAGGAAATGTTAGGCATTTGTTTTCAGTTAGTGTCTCATTCTCCTTAAACATCTATTAAAGGACCAATGACCAATTAGCACCATAGTGGGGTGGGGAGGGGGTTATACTGCATATTCACATTCTTAAACAATGGGTTGTTGAGCGAAAGGACAGGATGCACTGAGAATCACTATCTGAAAGGGGAAAATGACCAGCAAGTGCAAGAGCCTGAGCATGCAGAAGGCTCAGTTTGCACTGAGGAAAAACAGGCAGAAATTACTTTAATCCTCTCTTTTGTATTATCAGTTCCATTTTCAGTCTCTTACAACCCCTTATGCTACTATAGAATAACAGAACCGGAAGGGACCTGTAAGATCATAAAGTCTAGTCCCCTGCCATGGACAGAAAGTTATTGGGCTCAGACAAGCTCAACAAGGTGCCTGTCTAGCCTCATCCTGAACACCTCCAAGGAGGGTGACTGCACCACCTCTGCTGGGAGTGTGTTCCAGACTCTGGCGACCCTTACAGAGAAAAAGTTTTTTCTTATGTCTAGCCTGAATTTACCCTCTATTAGCTTATGCCCATTGGTCCTCATCCTCCCTTGAGGTGCCTGGAGAGTTGCTCCCCTAGATCTTGGTGCTCACCCCTGATGTACTTGTAGACAGCTCTCAAGTCACCTCTCAGCCTTCTCTTACTCAGAATGAACAGGCCCAGTTCCTGGACTCTCTCCCCATACGACCTATCCTCCATGCCTTAACCGTATGGCCCTTCTTTGTACCCTCTCAAGCTTATCTATATCCTTCTTGAAGTGCAGTGCCCAGAACTGGGCACAGTTCTCCAGCTGAGGCCTCACCAATGCTGAATAGAGATGGAGGAACACCTCTCTGGATCTACTGGCAAAACATCGGCTGATGCATGGCAGAGTT